TACTAGGGGCTCCTGGCCTTACTACTAGGAACAAGGACGCTACTAGGAACAAAGGCATTAGCAAGGCATCCGTAGGGCCCTCAAGGAGCCGCCATTTGTTGGTTTTGGCCGTTGATGAAATGAGTATAATGAGTTGTCCCCGAATTGACCAGGACTACTGGATGCTGTATCTCTTTCCGCTTGTCTACTACTATGGTGATATGAAGCTTGGAAAGGACATGTCTGGGATTGAAAGGGTTCTTTGTTTCTTTTTGACTTTCACCGCGCCTGAGAGCAATGCGGGCCGGCAAGATTGAACGGATTTGGCTGCATTAGAACCAATGGCTGTGCTTCCAGGATGACGAGGAGCCAGAGTACAGTGATTTGACATACTTGGCCATGGTTTGGTGTGCTGGAGTGGCCATTGGACTCATTTTCTACGGAGCATCTGAGCCTTTGTTTCATGCAGCTGATGCAACCAATCGCAGCTTGGCCAACCTCCTTGACAGTCTGATTGTGCAATTTTAGAACACGACTTGCATAAGATTCACTTTTACAGGGTTTGCACCTTGCACGCGAGGCTACAACAACAACGGCTACTCCAACGACAACCAGAAGGCATTGTATGGGTTGCACCTCACAATGTTCCACTGGGGTTTCATGGCGTGGATTGTGTACTGCTTGACAGCTCTCACTATGGGCTTTTTGGCGTACAGGAGGGGGTTGCCCCTTTGTTTCCGTACCACACTTGCTCCTGTGCTGGGAAAGGCAACTTGGGGTTGGATTGGTGATCTGCTGGACATTGTAACGATCGTCACCATTGTGGCCGGATTGACAACTTCCCTTGGTTTGGGAGCTCGACAGATTGTTTCCGGCTGCCAGCGTTTGGGCTGGCTGAGTGGAACCTTGACTGATAGTGAGCTCACAAATGCAGCATGCTGGATCATTGGAATCATCACTCTGTGCGCCACTGCATCTGTCGTGGCAGGTTTGGAGTTCGGAATCAAGTCTGTTTCGTACGTAGCATTTATGCTTGGAAACTTCTTGATCTTGGTGGTCTTCTGCCTTGATGAGCCTTGGTATATCCTGAATGTCTTCGTGGCCACGATCGGATTCCACCTACAAAACTTTTTGGAGACAGCCTTTGACACAGATGCCTTTGCCCAGTTGGGTGTCGGAAATGGGCAGCCGAATGACGGAAAGGGCGCAAATCCTGCCTGGATGGATTGGTGGACCATCTTCTACTGGGGTTGGTGGATTGCTTGGGCACCCTTTGTGGGAACTTTCATGGCCCGCGTCTCCCGGGGTCGCACGATCCGTCAGGTTGTTTTGTACACACTCACCATTCCTTGTGGCTATGCTTTCATTTGGTTTTGCACCTTCGGGGCAGCTGCCATTCGCATGGATCGACGCGCAACATGGTTGGCTGAACTTGGAAGCGAGCTTCACAACAACAGGGACTACTTCTTGCACACTGACCTCACCTTCCGTCCAGCCAGTGCTGGCAAATGCTATGATGTGCCTGCAAGTCTTCCGAGCATCACAGGATATGAAGTGAATCCATATGTGAGCCCCGTCTGCAACTTTGCCAGTGGTGACAGCAATGGCTACTGGTTTGACCTGATGAGTCAGTACTACGGCATGGGTCAATTCCTGACTTTCGTATCCATTGTGACGACGGTGTTGTACTTCATCACTTCATCTGACAGTGGCTCCCTTGTCGTGGATTTGATTGCTGCGAACGGTCGAGAGGCGCATGTGGTGCAGCGAGTATTCTGGGCCTTGACAGAGGGTGCTGTGGCAATTGCAACGGTTGCATCGGGAGGTTTTTCCTCTCTGACCGGGCTGCAGGCAGTTTCCATTGTGATGGGCTTGCCTTTCACATTCATCCTCATGGTCATGTGCACGGCATTGTGGCGTGCACTCAAGCTTGAAGCGGGAGACATGCCACCAATCAACCGGCGAACAGATTGGACTTTGCCTTTGTACGGTGGGGTCGTTGATTTCCCGGAGTTTCTTCTGACCTGTGGACGATGTCCTATGCCCTCCAAGAAAAGCATTTGTGCTTTCTTCACTGCCCTACTCTTTCCGGGGTATGCTCTCTTCAAGGCACTGAACGGTCTAGCATCCCATGAGCAGAAACCAATGCCCATGGTGGTGAGAATGATCTTGGCTAAGATGACCCAGCTGCTCTTTACGGCTTTCGTTGCCCTCCACATTGCTGCCGCCGTATATGAGGGAGAGCAGCTGCGCATCGAGGGACGTGGACTGTGGTCTTTCGGTTGGATTTGCTACATTTCCATGGCTGGATTTGTGGCTTTGGGCCGCCATCAGATTCGACGTCTCTACTCCATTGAAGGCTCTGGCATGGAGGATTTCTGGGCTGCCCTGCTGCTCTACCCACAAGCCCTTTCCCAGCTCATGTTGCAGATTGAACAGACGCCTGTTCCTCAAGACTACAAGAAGCCTGACAAGGCGGGGAGGGATCAGAACGGAGTCAATGAGCCACAGCCAACAGTTAGCACCTTTTATGAGAGGCTCCAGCGACTACAGGCAAGCCAGCAAAGATCATGGCACGCAGCATACTAGACAGGTTTTCTCTAAGTTATATAGTTGTTTCATGATCGGTTTCAGCTTCCTGTTTGGATTAGACAGTTCATCCATTACTCGCGTAAAGTCTTGGAGACAGTTGAATCCTGACCTAAGCCCTTTCTTGTTGGCTTCTTCGATATACAATATATTTTTCAATTTGCAATTTGTCCTGCACGTATATTTTTACTGATCAAATCAACTTCAATTTGTTTGCACTCGGATCACTCTCCCTTTGACATGTTGAGGCGGAGCTCTCCAACGCTATCTTTGGAAAGGCGGAAGTTGACATTTGAGAAGGCGCTTTCACTACCTGCAATCCCGTCTAAAATGACTGGATATCAGGTGCTGAAGCGCTGATTGCTTTAGTATACAGTATGCATAGTTGTCGGCCTATCTTTCTTTACCTCCTGTGCTGAAGTCAGCTGCTTGATGCTGCAGCCTCTTTGAAGACCGGCTGCGCACTTCAAGGCTGACATCAATGTGCGCATGTTGTTCGCTCATACCTTTTGCAAAAATTTGGGAGAGTCGAAGCAAGGCCGCAGGTTCATAGCTTCATATTACTAGCTGCCAATGTGTTTCTTAGTTGTGCTTTTACAACTGGTTGAATTTGGTTGAGAGGCTTTTGTGCAAAATTTAGGACGGGCTTATGCTTCACTTGCTCCAGGGATTCCTCGTGTCTCATGTGGCTGCGAAAGCAGCAAGCACATGCCTAATACTTGCACTGTCAAAGGGCGCTTATGTTGAATTAGGCATTGTTTCAAGTTTGTGCTCGGAGCAGAAGGTTTGTTGGTAGGCAAGGGGCAGTCACATGGGATAGTCAAGAAGAGCAACTGTCTAGCTGCAGTGTTTGCAAGCGTGGTGGTGATATAGTTACAGTAAGTTTTCCTAAAAGTCTAGAAGCCAAATGAATAGCGTCAGCTATCCTGCGTCCATGCTAGTAGCGTACTAGTAGCTAGTAGCTTACTAGTCCCATACTTAATTAAGTAGGCGCCTACTCAATTGAAGTAGGGGGGGGGGAGCGGCCTAGAAAACAAAACACAAAAACAGAGAGTCTGTTCGGGCTAGTTTCTGGACATTTTAGACAGTGATCGTTCCTTGCTTGGCTGTGTTCGAGTGTGCACGAGACCTCCACGAAATGCATCCCTTGCCTCGCGAGACAAAGCTGCTTGCAGGGAATAGAATCCCCTCAGCCTTCTGTGAAGTCCGCTCAGCTGGTGAACTTATACAACCCCTTTGTTTTCCAATTTGGATCTCCACATCGAAGCCGGGCCTGCACTGACTCCGTTCACCCCCGAATCTCTAATATTCTCGTATCATCCTATGGCGCCTGCCCTTCGCATGATTCGTGTGGAGCCTTGCTTGTGGGATTTGCAGGGACGACGAATGAGTGTGTGTAACTCTTGACCCAGGTGCTCCTGCGCTCTGTGGACGCTTGATCCGGCGCAGCAGAAGCTTGCAGAATTCAGCTTCCTGTTTGTAAGAGTGCTCCTAGTAGCATCCTTGCTCCTAGTAGTACGGCCAGGAGCTCCTAGGAGCGTCCTTGCTCCTAGTAGCGATGCCAGGAGCCCCTAGCAGCGTCCTTGCTCCTAGTAGCGATGCCAGGAGCCCCTAGTAGCGTCC